CTGGCAGCTTCTCCCTGGCAGGGGTCGGGCGGGCGGCTGCCGCGGGTCTGGGGCCTGGTGTGTGGCAGCGGTGCCCGGGGGCGGGGAGGCCGCGGCGGGGGTAGGCACTGGGATGGGAACCAGCGTTTCTGCTGCGGTGCCGTTGCAGTATCGGTGTTATTTGCCCAGGGGATGCAGTACAAGGGCATGGTGTTCTCAGCTGCGGCTGAGGTAGCGGTGGCATGACTGTGGCTGCGTATGCTGTGAAAGGGTCTGGAGCAACCCGGAAGGTATAAAATTATCTACGGAGGGTATGCATCGTTCTTTGTTGTAACAAAGTCAGTAGTTTCTGCTGCGGTGCCGTTGCAGTATCGGTGTTATTTGCCCAGGGGATGCAGTACAAGGGCATGGTGTTCTCAGCTGCGGCTGAGGTAGCGGTGGCATGACTGTGGCTGCGTATGCTGTGAAAGGGTCTGGAGCAACCCGGAAGGTATAAAATTATCTACGGAGGGTATGCATCGTTCTTTGTTGTAACAAAGTCAGTAATTCCCTGTATGTAAGAAGGAGCTTTTCTCAATAAATTATATTTTGCTACAATTGTCGTTCAAGATTTTCTGCTTTGTCCCTTAAATACCTGGCGCCAGCTACTGCAGAAGGTAGATATCTGCATTTGATAGAGATAAATATAATGCAACATACCTTTATGGCATCCTTATTTGCGAGTACCTGTATGACATCCTAATTTGCAAAAGCAGAGATCAGGTGGAATTTAGTTTAAAGATACTCTACACTTTTGTCGGTCACAGGAATGGCTTCGCTGGAAGAACAGAAGTCAGAACTTGTATTTGCCCTTAATAGCAAACAAATGCTTTTGAAAGCATGTATGCATCTATATCTATTCCAAATTTGTCTACACTTTCTGATCATATCAGGGAGCTGGATGGATGCACTGAAGTGAAAATATGGAAGGGTTATCTGGCTTTACATTAGACTGAAAATAGTTTGAATTAATAGCAATACAGCCCTTCCACTTAAGCCTTTGTTACTTGTGTATTTAGGTATACAGTCCAGCTAGCTACAAGATGGGGCTTTCAGAGAAAGATCTGGATAGATTTTCTATTCAGTAATCATTTAATTTTCTATGCTTTTGCCTGTTTGGATTCTTAGTGCTGATTAAAGCAAACTTTGCCAAACTGTATTATAATACTGTGCTGTGTGTGCAGCTGTGGGTGTATATCAGCAGTTTCTTTAGAAAAACAAAGTTCTTTAGAAAATACTAGTTTATACTGTATTAAAGTTAACAACTGAGTTTAACCTATGATGATGCTTTAGACAGAGATATAGTATTTACTCATTTTCTCTGAACAAAGCTAACTCGTGGCTCGGTAATTCAGCAGTTCTTCATTCTTGATCTCCTGTAGGCTTTGGAATTTTTAGTCAATGTCTGTTGAAAATTGTCCTTTGACTGTGTTTCATGTATCAGTACGAAAGGACTAGTATTCTGATTCTATTTTATTCATTATATTTCTTTGCTTTGCTTTTAGCAGATACTACCATATACCCTTTTTCTGCAACCTCTGCCTAACTCTTCTAGAGTAGCATTTCTTCGTATGACTAGTGTCACTGATGTCAGTGGGGCAACTCAAGAGAATAGATTTTACTTGGTGTGGATAACAGCTGCAGAAATAGTTCCTAAGTTCAGAATGTCTTCACAGCAAATACAGTTGGTAGTGGCTTGGGTTCTAAGGGCTTCTGTGTGCAAGTATGGTAAGGGGCTTTTGGCTTCTATCATTTATTGTCTTCCCCCTGTGAGGCAAAAGAAATAGGCCAGTGAAAATCATTCTGTGGCTGGAAACTGGACTATTTTGAAGATCGGCTACATTACTAAGCAGTTTATGGCAGGAAAGTCATGAAGACTATGAATGTCAGCACCATTCTTCTAGTCTCTCAACTGATGATGTATGTTGCCCATAGCTTTCTAGACATTTGCTGCATAATCTAATATTATATTAATAAAATATTGCTTACGTTTTATATATAAGCAGTTTGCACTCCTTCAATTGTAACCAGACTCTCTAAGTTATTTTTATGATTACAGAGAATGTTAGAACCTAAGTCACTTCCATGGAATCGGTTTATGAAGTGAAATTTCTGTAATTGTAAAATTACTGTCAAATCTGGTGGTGTAGATCTATCTGTATCTTGTATGTGCAGTAACCACTTGCTCCAAGCTTTTTATTTAACATACACAGCTTTGATTGGTTTTGTGAAAGGGCTTTGTTTACCTGTGACTGGTGTTCGTAGAGATTAATGCTTTACTTTTAATATTTGGCAGGCCAGAAGAATGTTTGAAGGAGAAATGGCAAGTTTGGAAGCCATCTTGAAAACACAGACGATAAAAGTGCCTAAACCCATCAAAGTTATAGACCTGCCTGGGGGCAATACACTGTTTGTGATGGAACATTTGGAAATGAGAGGCTTAAACAGGTAAAACACAGTATTATCTTTGCATCCTGTAATCGGAAATTTTGACTATTATGACGATTAAGTCACTTGTTTTCAGAGGGAAAACTTGTTTTAATTCTTTTTGAAGCAAGTCAAGGTATGTTTGGGAAGTTATACAGCAGAGAACTGTATAAAATACTTCACCTAGCAAATTGGTTGTACATCAGGAAGTGGGTGCGATTATTCTTTAGTTTTGGGGTTGTTTGGGGGTTTTTGTTTGTTTGGAGGGGTTTTTGTTTAGGTAATTAGAGATTTTTACAGTAAGGTGGGTTTTTTTATAGTAAGGAAAATGACCTACCTCATCACCCGTTTTGTGTACTTGCCTTTGATATAAGAACCAGTGTTTAATATTGCTTGTCATGAGTATGCAAAGGCACTTCCCCGAATGAATGAATCCTGATTTTAAACTCTCACCTTGCTTTTGATAGTTTCAAACTTTTGCCCCTTCTCTGTGGCAAACACTTGAGTAAATTAAAATGTCATGAATGTTTCCGTCTGATTCCATTAGGGAGGTGGGCATTACCAATTCCTCATCCCAGTCTCAGAATTTTTGCAGCCAGCTTAAAGTCTTATCCCTCATCCTGCTCATCTGCAGTTTGTTATTCACGAAGAGCCTTTGGTGAGCTCCAAGAGAAAGAGCAGAAATCCTGTTGTGTTTGGGCTGATTGAGATGAAAGGTGTGCAAATGCAACCTTTGGCATACAAATTTCAGGGATTAGCTATAATCAGTGTTAACAGGAACAAAAAGAAGGAATAACTCTGCATAAAATGACAGTGCCTTGAGAACAGGCAAAGATGTAGAAGGTTCAAGACACAAAAAGGAACATGCTTTTGTTAACATGGGAGACAACTGGCTGTAAGAGTTGTTTGTGATTACTGCAAGACTCTTCTGAACTGTGTAAAAGATAAGCTTTTATTAAAAACAGAAATAAGGCCAACCTGACTTTTCCATCTCCTACGTGTTTTAGAGAGGAGAAGCCAGAGGCAAAGATGTAAAGAGGATGAATCTTGTTTGGCTTTATTTCCCAAAGACAGTTTGGCAGGGGGGAGAAGCACAACATGTGCGTGGTTTTCTTACAGATATCTTACTGAAAGTTCATGTAGAAGTGATATTATGCAAAAATCAGAATTGATAGTTTCTCATTGTTACTAAATTTGATTGCTTCTCACTATCACTTTTAATAGTGTTGTCAGAAACAACGACACAGGTTCATTTTGTTCTATGTTAACACATAATCTTTATAGGAAGAGGAGGTGTTTATGACTAGAATATTTTGATAATGTACTTTTTAGAGGTGCAGAACTTACTTGAAAATAAGCAAATAAACTAACTCCTGGAATATAAAGAACTGGAGTCATTCCTGTGTCAGTATTGCTAAGAATACTTTTGTTTCTTAGACATTCAGCAAAGCTTGGAACACAACTGGCTGATCTCCACCTTCATAACCAGCAACTTGGAGATAAGCTGAAGAAAGAAGAGAGCACAGTTGGTACAGTACACAGATGTTTGCAAATTTAACCTAGTTAATAATAATGTACAAAATAGTTAAAATAGCTTTTGTTATTTCAGGATAAGTTCGTCTTCTTTCACTGAAGATATTATGAAAATAGATTTGGATGAAACACCCAGGCAGGGGGATGTCTTTTTTGCTTTTGTTTGCTCTGTTTGGATCTCTGTAAGCAAAACATTTATTCAATTTGGGACCCTTGGGATCCCAAACAACAGTTTTTGCAAGGACATGGTATCAGAGGAGATACACTACCTCAAGATACGATTATGAAGATTATAATACAGCTGCTTTACATCAAGCTTTAAACTTAAAAACCAACAGCAACAACCATTGTAACAAAATGAGTATTAAGGTGCAATTATTATTATTCTTAGTAGAAGCAGCATTGTACTCTTGCGTAGTATTTAAGGTCCATTTGCATTGTAGATACTTAGAATCTTGTCATTAGTTTTGGATTTTTGTCTTTGGTTTGAAAGGTAAAGGTCAAGGGCAAATGGAAGTCCAGTTTGTGGATCAATTTGGCTTTCATACAGTTACCTGCTGTGGCTATCTTCCACAGGTAGGTTGTACTTCATCAGACTGATAGAATTTTAAGTTTATCTTATTTTCCCTTCAGAGACACAAAGGGTCGAAATTATAATGGAAATTCATTTATCATAAGAAGAAAAAACATTGTTCAGCCTGCTAAGGAGAGTAGTGCTATGGACAGCACTTAGAGCTGCATTGGCCGTTCATAGCTCTTTGATTTCTTGATTTTTATCACTTTGAG